CCTTCATGTTCACATGGATGGAGCTGGAAAATGTTCTTCTTAGCAAAGTATCACAGGAATGGAAGAATAAGTATCCAATGTACACACCCCTATTATGAAATTAATTTAAACCTTTTTATATGAAAGCTATAACCTAATAACAACCTAAGGATATGGGGAGTGGGGAGGGAGGGAGGAGAGGGTGGAGGGAGAGTGATTCAAGGGTTCACTTCTGTGGTTCATCTTTCAAGGGTACAAGTGAATCTTTTTATGAGTAGAATATGAATGTTTTAACACAATAACTAAGAAAGTTACATGAAGGCTATATACCCCTAAAGTGCATCAATGTACACAGTTACCATTCAATAAAAAAAAAGGAAGAAAAAAAAACTTTCAACAAAAAAATAAACTTATTTATAAAATTATGAAATAATTTAAATATAATCCTTTCTGAAGGAATTGTATTTTAAATGATTTAAATTTATTTTTATAGTTCAAAATTTCCAAGTTATATATCCTTTCTACTCTAAAGACAATGACAATCTTATTTAAATTTAGAGGACTCTGTATTTTAGTAACTTAATTACTCAAATACTAACAAGTAAAAATTGCACCATTATATTTAAAATGGGTGAATTTTATGGCATGTAAATTATGTCTCATAAACTGCTTATTGAAATAAAACTGAAATGCATTGGCTGGGCATAGTGGCTCTCACCAGTAAGACTAGCACTCTGGTAGAACAAGGTGGGTGGATTGCTTGAGCTCAGGAGTTTGAGACAAACCTAAGTAACAACAAGACCCAGTCTCTGCTAAAAATAGAAAATAAAAAAGTGAGGCAAATCATTACTTAAGCCCAAGAGCTTGAGGTTGTTGTGAACTATGATGCCATGGCATTCTACCCAGGATGCCAGAGCAAGACTCTGCCTTAAAAAAAAAAAAAAATATGCAGAAGAATTTCTGATAGGAAAACCTGTCAGACTGGTTTTGAACTGTAGGTGATTGATCAGTAATTATACTTGCTTATTACCAACATACCTGAATAAATTTCTTTAATTGACAGGATCATTTCTCCATTCCCTTTATTCTCTTTCCTTATATGCTAAAATATGGCTTAATGACTTAAAAGGAATACTTACATGGCAAGAATCTGCTTCTCCCTCTTCTATTGGCTCATCAACCATTTTAAGACCATTTACCTGAAAAACATTGTTTAAAAACTGAAATTCATGAGTATTAAAACAAGATTAATACCTAAAAAAATAACCCTACGCATTACTCTCCTCAATCTAAAATGATATACACTAACTGAAAAACAAAAGGGCAAAGGACACATATAAGGTACTTAGTAAAGGAATGCCATAATTTAGTTCCCAGACTGTCCTTGAGAAACCTTGATTTCACAGCTTTATGCTTCACTTAATATTGTTTAGAGCTATGCAATGACAGATGACCATATATAATAGGTATATGATATATATACTTTTGTTAGGATTGTCTAGCTAAATATTTATGACAAGAAAAATAAATGCCACAGAAATCTACCATGAGGATACACTCAAAGGAAATTAGAATGAGAAGGGTTTTATAATTGCATTGTTGTGTATTCCTTTCATTCTTATTTCATGAGATACTCAACAGCATAAAGAATAAACTATAGGAGAGATATACCTATAGTCATGGAAACAGAAATATTTCAACATACAAAGCTCATTAAGTAATACTACTCATTATTCAACCTCTACTTCAAGAAAAAGTTAAGTGCAGAAGATTTAAATTGAGGGTCTACAAACTATAACCCTTTGGACAAATCTGGCTTGTTGCCTGTTTCTGTGCAGAATTTTATTGGAACACAGCCACATACATTTGTTTTCATTTTATTTATGGCTGCTTTCCACTACAATGGCAAAGTTGAGCAGTTGTGACAGAGACTATATACCTGAAAAGCTTAAAATATTTACTATATTTTTCTCTTTACAGAAAAAAGTCCATCAATCACTGATCTAAGATGTTTCAAAATTAAGCAACAGCAAGATGATCAAGGAAAAAAGTAATTTTACCAATGCCCAGTTGTAAAAGTCCACAGAAAAATTTCCAAACCAAATTAGATCTAGTGACAGCTACAATGTAATAAGTCTGCTAAGCCTCTCTGTCCCCTTATTATAAACTAAAAATCCTTGACAGAATAGAAAAAGAAAGTATCCAAGGACTTTGCAAACTGAACAATACCAAGTGTGTTAGGGAGGGAGATAAAAATTTAAAAAATAACTCTGATCAATACCCTGGGTTTATTTTTCACCTCTTATCTCCTGAATTTTACTCAAGGAGAAAATGATTCATAAACCTCTACAGAAGATCTGAAAAAAAAAATTACAAGAGAAATCCCACTTTCTGTAAAAAGCACTAGGAAAATAAGCACTTTTAAGCCTGTGATCATAAACAGAACCCAAGTTTTCCTCCATGTTCCCACCTTTCTCTTTATCAACTCCTGGTCCTACTCCAAGGCAAGTTCTGATCAAGACAAAAACCTATCTCTCTGGCCAGTAAAAGCAGGGAAACAAGACCAAACTATAAAGAAAAATGTGAGGGTTAGCCTTGGCTTATTTTTCTTACTGTCTTTTTTACTTCATCTCAAGGGAACCTCCAATAGTGTAAAGCTATGTGAAAGCATGAAAGTATAAGACCTTTTAATTATTTCATTCAGATGTGTTTATTGCTATCCAAAAGAGGATAGTTATCATAGTTATAATGAGTATTTTAAAGTCTTTTCCAGATATTTTGACATTGGAGACATCCTGAAATTTAAATCTGTTGATTTTTGTGTGTTTGTTTTTTTCAGTAGGCAGTCTACCTAGATTGGTTCAAAGTTCCATGTTCTGCCCCACCCTCTCTGAGTAATGGTTCCAATATTAATTTAGAGTATTTGCATTAGAATCCTACAGGTACCACTCCATACATGTGATAATTCAGTGATTATTCTAAGACTTGAACAATAGTTGATATTGTAGTTCAATACTCAAAGATTTTGTTATGCTTCTTTGGTTATTTCCTGCACAGTTTCTTGATGAAAACAGGACTCAAGTTGGTTTATACACAGATTTAAAGGATCTCCTTCTCTCCTATCCTCTCTGTGACTTATCCCAATTTCTTCTTTCTGTTTCCATGTGACCTTTTATTCTGTTCCTCTGGCTTCAGAAGAGATTAGTAGTTGTCAGGGGAGAGAGCAGGGGGTGGGAGGGCTTGAGTACAAAGAGGCATCACATGGCAATTGCATGTGTATGCAGCAGGATGATGAAACTATTTTTTATCTTTATTGTGGTGATAGTTACAAAAGTCAATGTATAACCTCAGAACAATATTTAATAAATAGTGAATTTTATTATATGAAAAATGTAGGGTTAGCTTACTAAATAGTAAATTACTCAACATCATTTCGTCAATGAGCATCTTTATTCTAAACAAAAAAACAATGAAAACTATATAAATTTACCAATGATGTCTATTTTGCTAATGGATCCATCAGCTTTTATTTTACTTAATCTCTTTGCAATTTGTCACAGGTGACCACTCTTCTATTTCTTTATCTCCCATGGTATAACACTCCCACTCTCATTTTTTCTAACTCAAATGTCTTTTACTGTTCTTTATTAATATTGAAACGTTGTTACTCCTCAGGAAATGTACTCACCTTCTCATCTCATTCCACATTTTTCTTTTTCTTTATTAGATCATATTTGTACACATTAATTCTATCATGGGATACAGTGTGTTGTTTCCATATACAATTTGAAATACTTTCATCCAATTGGCCAACATAGCCATCATGTCATTCTCATAATTGTTGTGTTAAAACATTTATATTCAGCATTTAGAAAGATTCACATGTACCCTTATAGGAAAAATCATAGGCGTGATCCCCGCAATCACTCTCCCTTTACTCATCCTTCCCCTTCTACTCCCCTCCCTTACCCCTTTCCCCATATTCTTTGATTCCATTTGGATTATAGCTTTTCTATGATAGTTAACAGATAGTTTCACAATATGGTTGAGTACATTGGATAATTTTCTTCCATTCTTGAGATACTTTGCTAAGAAGAACATTTTCCAGCTCCATACATGTAAACATGAAGGAGGTAAAGTCTTCATCTTTCTTTATGGCTGCATAGTATTCCATGGTGTACATATGCCATAATTTATTGATCCATTCATGGGTCGATGGGCACTTGGGCTTCTTCCATGACCTAGTGATTGTGAATTGGACTGCAATGAACATTCTGGTACAGATATCTGTATTGTAGCGTGATTTTTGGTCTTCTTGATATATACCTAGCAGAGGAATTATAGGATCAAATGGCAGATCTATATTTAGATCTCTAAGTATTCTCCATATGACTTTCCAAAAGGGACGTATTAGTTTGCATTCCCACCAGCAGTGTAGAAGTGTTCTCTTCTGTCCACAACCCTGCCAGCATCTGTGATTTTGGGATTTTGTGATATAGGCTAATCTTACCAGCATTAGATGATATCTCCAAGTAGTTTTGATTTCCATTTCTCTGATGATTAGGGATGATGAGCATTTTTTCATATGTCTGTAGGCGATGGGTCTGTCTTCTTCGGAGAATTTTCTCTTTAAGTCTCTTGCCCATCCTGAGATGGGATCACTTGTTCTCTTCTTGCTAATACGTTTGAGTTCTCTGTGGATTCTGGTTTTAGACCTTTGTCAGAAGCATAACCAGCAAATATCTTTTCCCATTCTGAGGGCTGTCTGCTTGCTTTTCTTACTCTGTTCTTGGCTGTGCAGAAGCTTTTTAATTTGAGGAGGCCCCAGTAGAATATTTTTGATGTTGCTTCAATTGCCTCGTAAAATATTCGCCCAGGCCAATTTCTTCAAGAGTTTTCCCTACACTTTCTTTTAGTGTTTTTACAGTTTCATGTCTTTTTTTTTTTTTTTTTTTTTTGAGACAGAGCCTCAAGCTGTCCCTCGGGTAGAGTGCTGTGGCATTACAGCTCACAGCAACCTCCAACTCCTGGGCTTAAGCGAGTCTCCTGCCTCCACCTCCCAAGTAGCTGGGACTACAGGCGCCCGCCACAACACCCGGCTATTTATTTTTTTTTTGATTGCAGCCGTCATTGTTGTTTGGCGGGTCCGGGCTGGGGATTCGAACCCGCCACCTTAGTGTACGTGGCTGGCACCTTAGCTGGTTGAGCTATAGGTGCTGAGCCACAGTTTCTTGTCTTAAATTGAAGTCTTTAATCCAATGGGAGTCTATCTTAGTTAGTGGTGACAGGTGTGGGTCCAGTTTCAGTTTTCTGCAGGTCGCTAGCCAGCTCATCCAGCACCATTTGTTAAATAAGGAATTTATTTCCCCACTCAATGTTTTTAATTGGCTTGTCAAAGATCATATAGTAGTAAGTAGCTGGGTTGATCTCTTGGCTCTCTATTCTGTTCCAGACATCTACCTCTCTGTTTTTGTGCGAGTACCAGGCTGTTTTGATCACAATGGATTTATAGTGTAGTCTGATGTCTGGTAGCGTGATTCCTCCTGCTTTGTTTTTGTTTCTGAGTAATGTCTTGGCTATTTGAGGATTTTTCTGATTCCATATAAAATGAAGTATTATTTTTTCGAGATCCTTAAAGTATGACAATGGAACTTTAATAGGAATTGCATTAAAATTATGTATTGCTTTAGGTAGTATAGAGATTTTGACAATGTAAATTTTTCCCAGCCATAAGCTAGGTATGTTTTTCCATTTGTTAACATTTTCAGCTATTTCTTTTCTTAGAGTTTCATAGTTCTCTCTATAGAGATCTTTCATGTTCTTTGTTAGGTAAACTCCCAAGTATTTCAACTTCTTTGACACTACTGTAAATGGAGTAGAGTTCTTGACTGTTATTTCAGCTTGACTATTGTTGGTATATATAAAAGCTACTGACTTATGGGTGTTGATTTTGTAACCTGAGATGCTGCTGTATTCCTTGATTACTTCTAAGAGTTTTGTGGAAGAGTCCCTCATATTTTCCAGGTATACGATCATGTAATCTGCGAAGAGTGAGAATTTGATCTCTTCAGATCCTATGTGAATACCCTTGATTGCCTTTTCTTCCCTAATTGCTATGGCTAAGACTTCCATTACGATGTTAAAGAGCAATGGGGACAATGGGCAACCTTGCCTGGTTCCTGATCTGAGCAAAAATGAT